TTTTACATACCCATCAAATCAACGAACAAATGGTGAGAGTCTTGTTACGACAACATATTATATACAATGTCCTCATACTAGATTAGAAATGTGTACAGGCCAACAAACTGAACAATATTATCCATTACAGTTTCAAGAAATGCCATTTTTTAATGGTAGTGGAATAGTTACTAAGACATTCACCAGTAGTCGCTATGCTGGACTACCGACGATAACTGAATGTCACCACAGGTTTTCTGGTCCTTATATCTTAAATTCTTTTCTAACAACTGTAAATCAAACTACGCCCTTCTCATTTGTTACAGTTATACTCTATAGTGACGCATTGGCATATAGAGTTACATCAAATGAAGTTAATACTGTAATGGGAACTGGAAATGCTATGGGTACATGGGAAAGGATCATTCAAGTAGTATATGATCACTTGAATGGAGAGGGGCTAAGGAATGAAAGGCGATTTTCAGGGTCAAAAAAGTTTGATGAGATCTGAGTCCTGATTACATAAAAAAAAACAATTTTCACAGAGATTTGTATGTCGTATTTATGTTATCTTCCACAAATCCAAACTTAGAGATGGAGAAAGCCCGCACTCAGTATGTCACATACCAAAAGTTATCTTTTCGAAGTAACTCTGAACCAGTCATTTTAAGTTTCTTTAGCATCTTGCTAATTAGTATTTAGTCTTGAAGAAGACGAAAAATCCATTCTCGAAAGAAAGGGATGCTTACTAGGAGGAGGCTTGTCTTCAAAGAAACGTTCGTCATCTTGAGAAACACATTCACGCGTGGAATACGAGTATGAGGATAATTTGAAGATCGCCGCTATTGAATTAAATTAAAGACTAGAGCAACTCTTGTCCCACATAAAGGGTAACATTCATGCAAAACTATAGAAACAATATTCGCAATTAGGATTGCGAACCCACCTTCTCACCAAAAACAATTTTTTGGACATTCTCGACACAAGAAGTCAAATTTGCTTCTAAAACAGGCCTTTACAACGTTATGCTAGGAAAAGAACAGTTTTTTCGCACAAAAACTTTGATATAATAATATCTGGGAAGATCACAATAAACAAATATCTCTGATCAGGCTCTCCTTTGACTCGCTTTTCCCCGTGCTTGCATTTTCTTGTAGGAAGGGGTAGAGAAAACACGGGAAAAGAGCCTTTACAGGACACTTGAATGACCCTAAATGCACTCCACACGGAGCAACAACAACATTGAATATAAACCTGGTATTATTTAATTATCCATCAACAATTACTCCTATTAATGATGCTAATATCGCAATATCTAATAATGTTTTAACGTGTACAACAAAAACATTTCAATGTCATGGTTCAGCGACTGGAATACAATATACGTTACAACTGCCTATTAAAGGAAAATTTCAAAATCAAACTGCTGAGTTCATTTTCAGTGTGACAGGAACAAAAATTACAGTATAATGTATGCAGTTAATCCGATGAACATTCCACAAGAAACGATTCTACTGATTATTCTAATTATATTTATTATTCGAGCTATAATTGATTTAAGCTAACCTCTTGTTTCAATTCGCCAGCATTTGTTGTAACTGGTAGTATTTCTGTTCTTTCTCAGAATTTTTGGTGCTTAATTGAAGTAAATTTTATTTTATTTCGTAGAAAGTTATAAGAATAACATACCGAATAATAGTGTGTGGAATCTTAACCAATAATGCACTCTGTACAAGTAAGATGGGTAAGTACTAATCCTCGACAGAAGCTATGAAATGAGAACGCTCAAGCTTGATGCATCCCTAACTTCCTTAATTTTTTTAACAATAGTCTGTTAATAGCAAATTTTGGGCACTAAAATACAATTATGTCTAAAACATAGTGGACATTATAGATAAATTTCATCGAGTAGTTTATTGATGAAAATTATGTATCCAAATTTACTGCAGGTACAACTACGTTACAAATAAAACTATAAATGTTCATCTTATCAAAAGCATTTCTATGCGAGTCCTTTAAAGACTTGTATATTACTTCACTCATCATTAAATATAACCTTCTCAGAAAGCTTTTCATTCACATAATTTCTAATAAATTATAGGTATTTAAAATGAACGAGTTGATATGTAATGACGAAATAGTGTTATCAACTTATCCTTTTCAAACAACAGTATCTTATATCAAAAAACATACCAGAAGAACTGCTACTGATAACATTGAGTCGACTGCACAACTTCAATCCTTGTACAGAATATAGATACAGGACAGTGGATTTAGTTTGCAGTTTATTGCAAAGCTAAGTTCATGTGTTCGGATCTCTATTCGTACAGAATTGATTTTGTATTTTTCGATAGTTTTAGTTTAGAATACTATAATGGAATATAATCTGCTTGTATTCTGACAAAATAAAGCTTATATCCAGAACAGCATCACTTATAGATATCAATTCTTTGTGATAAACACTCATTTAAGCGCTTACGATTTGACACCTTACTTCAAATCATTACAGTGTTGCTTTTTTTGGATAAAAACTGCAGATAGCACTAAAGACCTCGTTCTCCAGCCGTTTTCTTTCGTCAATTATTTGATTATTAAACGAAAGCTTAACAATTGTTGTCCACTGGATAACTTATGGTATCACTCAAGAATAACTTTATTTTGATTTTATAGGCGTCTCATTGATCGAACAAAGCGTAATAATCATTGTTAAGTTGTTATTTGAAAATCGGCAATAAGGAAAACTCTACTTGACGTTTTGCCGAAAGTTTCTTTTATTTTTAAATAGCGAATTATTATATCTGATTTATCCTTGCTAGAATAACTACTACTTTTATTGGTTCCAAAAAACAATAGAAAACTCACGCTAGAAATTTGTCTAAAATGGATATGAACGGTAAAAGAAAATTTCTGTGATTAAAAAAGAAAACTAACTTCTGATAAATTAAAAATACAACATAATTTACACAAAGAAGCTTGTTTTGCTATTGATGACAAATAGAAATTGTTAGCTTTTACTTCTGGCAAAACGTCAAGTAGAGTTTTTCCTACTGTCGAGTTTTTCTCATCCTAACTTAAAAAAGATTTTCTTTTTCAACGAGAATAACAAAGTTTAGTGTTTTTAGAGCCTGTCGCAGAGTTGGTGCTCCTGAAAAGAATTTTGTATTAGTACCTTTATATATTACCGTAAATATATATATATTTTTACGACATATCTAACTTCGGTTTTTTGAAATAGAAAAAGAACCTCAATGGAGCGTTATGACAACACAGTCAGAAAAAACTAGTATGTATGTTGAACCTATTAATAAAAGAGCATGTTGCACATGCAAAGAAAAAGTTCTTGAACCAGACTTAACGGGAGAGGCAGTCCCTTAACGGAACCCAGGATTCACAATCCAAACGATATTCTTCTTCAAGATTTTTTCAAAAAAGCGTGAAATAATGTAATCGAGGGTTTGTGGAAAAATGTGACTTCCTGTGTGAGGATTTTAAATCCTTCTTTCTGAGAACTTTGTGGCAGAGACTTTTGGGCAACGTCAGCAACTAAAAAAGCTACCTGGTTCAGTTGAGAAACGGGCCCGGCAGGATATAGGCGAAACTTTTGGTATAAAACTATATTTTCATGGAACTCCTGACCTTATGGATAAAAAGTGAACCGTCTTGTCAATTCAGCATTGAAAACTGTATAAAAAAGACTATATGGGCGCACATGTCTATCAAACGAAGGTCTTCAAGGAAGCTGTCATGTCTTCAATGTGTCATGTGAAGACTTTCCCAGAAAAGTTGTCAGGCCTTCATTTCGTTTTCGATATAGTTTTTCATGGTGAATGAAAGATGAGAGCTCATATCTTATCGATAAGATTAACGTGAAAATGCAAATTCACAGCAAAACATCCTCTGCATCCAGTCAGATATATTAGGTTGTTAACCAAGTTCTGAGCGCTAATATGTTTCGAATAACTTTTCACAGAAATGAGACAGAGGCCTGCGGTTTTCACTATTGAACAACCAAGGCCTAAAGACATGTTTTTATAAGCAGAAACTTGTTTCAAAATTTCCTGGAAGTCCCATTTTCCAGAGGATCTTTGGAAAACTAGCTCCGTTTTCAGAAAATGAACATACAATGTTAGCAATGTTTTTGCATACGTAGATAGTCCGGACGTTACTCTACAAAATTATGCAAGTCCCAGCTCTCCAGCTATCGTCGTTCTGACAGGGTTCGCTTTCCCCGAACACGTGTCTGTCTCCGAGTAGACATCTCTGGGAATCTCGAACTGCCATGGAATATAGGTAATCGACTACACTGAGCATAGTGGCAATACTTGTTTCTATGTAGAAATGAAAATAACTTCGCCGGAGGCATTTTTGTGAAAAACCGATTTTTCGCCTGTTACTAGCAAAAGTTAAAATCCTTATATGTCGGTCAGATCTCATGCTGACTCAACGAAACTTGGGATTCTGACTTTTTTTAATTTAATTAATTTATCATCGTCGACGTTCCATGCTCTATGTACTCGTATACCATGTTCTTCAAACCCTACTCCAGAACTTTTTCAGAAAGGAATACGCGACACCTACGTATGTACATAAAGCAGCCTTCAAAAAAATAATTGTGCGTCCTTTTAGACGGATTGGTCCTATTTAGTAACTTGAAAAACGGCAATCAGAGGGCATATTAGACACCGGTTTGAGTTTAACACTCATAATCTATGTGGAATGCCTTGTACCTTCATCAGCGTACTTGATTTAATATAAAAAGTGCGTTTTTTTCGTGAAAGATTGCACTTTTAAAAAAAATGATAGTATAATTACTTTGATGGTAATAATTGCAAGGAATTTTTCAACATGTTTCTGAGATTGTGAAAGAAAGTTTTATAGCTCATTATATAGAGAATTGTGCGCTCTACAAAACGCACTGACTTACATTTTGCGGGAAATTTACTAGATGGAGAAAAATAAACTTTATTGAAAAAATTTTGTTTTTAAAATTAGTCATTTTTCAAATGGTAGGCTTCTAAAAAATTCGGTTCCCGGACGAAACCATATTTTTTGTGATCACCACCATATTTTACTACTATCCATTTTAAAAGAGAAAGTCTCTATGTATTTTTCTGTTAATGTTTATGAATAGAAGAGATAAAATCTTACGCTTTTCTCCATTCGGTAGTCAAGCTCATAATTTATCAACTTCTCGAAATAGAATTCAAAATCTTTCTTAACCTTAAGCTTTCGACCAGAGATTGAAAACTTTAAACGATTCTTATTTCTTGTATCGTGTTTACGAAAAACATCACTTAGTACAAAGTGTACACTGTGCCAATGATTACAGTATATTTAATGAGGAAAAGTTGCAGATTGCACAATTTAAATGTATGAGGATAATTGAGATTGAATAAATATTTTTCTAATTCTCACCAAATCAGGACTCTAAAAAAACAACCAAAAGCATCCAAAGTCTAAATGCTTTGTAGTATAGTACGATAAAAATCTAAAAGAAAAAAAGAAAGAACTTCGATTGTTAATGTGGTGTTAGGTTATGTTGGACCAATAAGTTCGATCTGTGGTCGGGGTATCTTTTAATTCTCGTAATCGTTTTAATAATACTTTTTTTTATAAATTTTTTGATCTCATGACTTTTTAGCTCTATAGTTTCCTAATATTCGCGTGACCTAAGTCAAACACGCACGCAAAAACCTATTTCAAGGTTCTCGATTCTGATCTTTTAGCTTGAGGAATAACCGTGTATAATTTTTTATTAATCTTTAATAACTTAATAGATGATGTTACTGATCTTCGATATACAGTTGCAAAATAACATTATCAACGTGTTCTTATACTTTTTTCTTTCTTATCCATCACATCGTAATAAATTGTTTCGGTCAATGCCGTAGAACTTTTGCATACCAGACTCACATAAACACTAGTTACTTTGTCATCAGCACTCATGTCACTCTCATCTTTGGTAGGATTAAGGAAAACGACATGTTAATGTTTGTCTGATATACTAGAATTCGTTTTGTTCGTCTTCGACTTAGAGTAGTATATTTCACTTCACCACTGACTATAATAAAACAACAAGGATAAATAACACATTGAATAGGTGTCTACACTCATTCACGATACAAGACATGTTCAATCCATTTACGTGTTTTGCTCAAATAAAGAGTGGCACGAAAAATGGGCCACAAAATTTCGAAAAGTGCGTGGTGTGTACACAGACATAAAACATATTTGCGAGGCTTTAGAAGAACAAGTTCACGTTTGCTCTAATGATATGAGCAGGCTCATCAGCGTCCTATCTTCATCAAACAGTAACAATGAGAAACAAGGGGCATCGTTCATGTATTTTCAATTACTCATTGAGATTTTACTTGAGATAGACAGTAGTGATGAAAGAAAACAAGAAACTTATTGAGCAATGTTCAAGACAATATGAAGAGAATGAAAAGGAACTAGCTTATATTGAAGAGTTTCACAAGAAGCATGAATCGAATCGTGCCATATGGTGGTACACAAGAGAGTGCTTTTTGTATCGAATGCTAAATAAAGCACTTCGTGTTCAAGACATTGACATTCTATTTAAACTCCGATTTTTCATCAAGGATCTTCACAGTCAACTTGAACAACTGCATTTCAAGTCGCCCAATGTCGTGAAAGAGTTAACTCTTTACAGAGGACAAAGGATGGTGGTGGAGGAGTTTGAAAAGCTACAAGGGAACATCGGTGGGTTCCTATCAATTAATTATTTTCTCTCCACAAGCGAAAGTAGAGATGTTGCAGTAAGATTTGCTCAAGCTTCGTTCAACCAAGAAGGCTTTGAAGCAATTTTATTCGAGATCATTGTTGATACAGAAAACTGTTCAAGGCCATTCCACAATATTACAAAGTATAGTGCAATGCCCAAAGAAAGCGAAGTTCTTTTCTCTCTCGGAACGGTATTTCGAATTCAATCCATCACACGATCCACCTCCACTGGTATCTCGAATGTGAAGCTCCTTCTGAATGGGCAAGAAGACCAAGATCTGAGGAACACCTGACAAAACAAGTACGAAACGAAGTCCAGACACTAGAACTGAAATTGAAAACACTGGGCCCCAATCACCCGTCTGTTGCTACGACATATAACAATATTGGAGGGGTTTATAATGCTATGGGTGACTATTCGGAGGCTTTGGATTATTATGAAAAGACACTGGAACTGTACTAGAAAACACTGGGCCTGAATCACCCGTCTGTTGCTACGACATATAACAATATTGGAGCGGTTTATAGGTAGTCACTATATGTATGTACGTCTGTCACTCTCGGTAGTGACTACTATGAAAACGTAAGACAGAAGAACAACGAATGTGTGTTTATACATTATTCGACGTGCTTTATTCTTTAATTAAACGCTTTTTTCCCGTTATATTTAAAGATGCACACACTTCTTGTTCAGAAGAGATCGTTTGTTTCCGTTTGTTTTCATCTTTCGTCTTATAAATCAATCACATATAAACATTATATATATATAAATCGTATCACATCATTGAGATCAAATGTGGACATAATTTAGTGAAGAAACTCGGTTTTCCCGATTAAATGTTTGACGATTATACTCTCACTGATATTAAGCTTCAGTCATAATTTCTTGAGGTAAGCCGTGTTTAGATATTCTGCTTTTGTCGAAGCTGTGTAATCCTGATTTTGGAGAGGCGTCCGAAGGAACAGAATAAGTGGGGGATTTGTGCAGTGCCATGCATGGCTATCGCTATAGAAATTCCCTTTCATCATTCAGAATACTGTGTGAAGTAATTTTTTGTATTGATTTTCATATGCTACATCTGTTTGATAAAAAATCATCTACCCACAGTTTATTCAGCGTGTTTCTCAAGCGCTGCTAAAGTTCGTCTAAACTTTTTTGTCGTTTTCTGATGCTGCAAAAGGACTTGAATATTTGTTCGTTGATTTGAATCAGAATGTCTGCTGAAATGATGGCGCGTTTTTGACTGTTGCTTGGTTAACTGCCTGTGCAATATAATATATTTTAAGGGTAAATTCTTTTTTCAATGCATATAAAAACTTCGTTCGATGAAATCCTTTTTTCCATGTGGCTTGGTGATTAGTAATTATTATTATTATTATTAAGCTTACGGCGTTCCACAGTTTGAAAGGATAAGTATTCGTAAGTGAGCTTTGTGCGCTTTAACTGCACCTTCTTTCATAACCGAATTTTAATTTTTTCGGGTATGAAAATCTGTAAAGGTTTCCGCTGATGTATCACAACACGAGTCCTTACAAAATTACAGGGCTATGACGGACATTCACGCAAGGGTTTTGAATGCTTTAAAAGCGAATAAACAAACTGCAAGTTAAGGAGTTGTTGTGAAAGCTTGCAAAATGCAGTTTCACTCTTGGTTTCAAGAGAAAAACTTCATCGTCCAACTCTGTTATCAGCTTATATACTCTCCATATTTGTTTCATCTGATAATGATGGTAACAGAACAGCTTTACTTTCATCCGTTACTATTCCATTAGATTTCATTCAAAATATAGTACCTAATGCTTCTGTTTTAGAAGAACATAACACCAAAAAGTCGTCCGCAAGAGTTCATCGATGATATACGTTCAGTAAAACGTATACGCTATAAATCAAGAGACCTGGATGTAAAACTTAAACTAGGAGATGATTTAATAAATGCAGTCTATGTCTTTGGCCTCGCTGGATTTGCTTTAAATTATCCCTGCGTGTTCTGCACCCAGCATAAAGATGATCTTCACATAACTGAAGAAACTGCTTGTGATAATTCTGCCACAGAAGGCAAGAGCAAAATAAAGTGACAAAAACAGTTAGAATTAGTGGTACATCGTATCATGATGTAACTAAATTAGCTCGTTCATATCATCCTATAGGCGTTTTTTTCTTGAGGTGTTGCCAACCTGCGACTAGTGGGCTTTTGTAGCCCATGGTCGACTGAGCGGATCGGCACTAGTTTGGCTCCGACGTATGGCCCACGCTCTAGCAAAAAGATTAAAATAAAAGTTGCAGCGTAATAAAGGAAAATATTAATAAAATTAAGCGCTGACGAGTTTCGAACCTCGACACTCGCTTATCGCGGGCGTAGTGTATTTTGCCATCAGCGCATATCAACAAATAAGTATATTTCTCACTTATTCTGTTCTTTTCCTCACTAAAGTAGAAACAGGAAGAAATTATATGTATACTTTTAAAGCAGCATAACGTAATCTCGTTAAGATCAAACTGCAATCTGTTTTATCCGACATTTGTCTTCGAGAACAGGTCACAGGTACAGTTAAATAATCAGGCAAGCAAGGGAAGTGGCATTTTTGATGGTTTCATATTCTTTATGCTTGCCTCTCCAATAGTCGAACAAATTTATTTAACTTTATTCAAAAGAAATCAAAAGGAATTTGACTAAAATCTCAGCTCGACTACTAAAAGTATAATCACCGTTGAAAGTTATTCATAAGACAGTGTACACAGTCAGCAGTATTTTGAACTTTACGCTGTTCACAAGAAATACACAAATGTCGTGGACAGACCAATAAGGTATCCATGATATTCTGACAAACAAAGTAACTGAAATAAAATAAAGTTCTCGCTGTTCAGCTTTCTTACGCTCAAATTAATTTAAAACTTAGAATTTTTTAGAAGTTAATTTCTCTTCATCTCTTCAGCTTAATCAGGAATGTTTAGGCTCCTTTTACTTTTATAAAAATAGCAGTGTATATGACAGAATGTATATACAGATATCATGCAAGCAAATGGAAAACGTTAAGAGTGACAAGGTGTTTACATAACACACGTGTCTGTATCAAGTATACATGGAATCGAGTGTACATAGGAACCCAATATTATGATCCCAATATAAAAGGACACTCCAATCTTACGTATGCACAATATATTGCTTATTGTTGCTAAATTCATTTAACCATTTAGGTTTCAGTTCAGTAGGCAATATTCGATAGTAATCTTCTGCACCCATTTGTATGTAACCAACTGTATCGACATCTGTAACATTACCTGAATTAAATAAAGTAGCGGAACGTGCGCTTGTGACACTTTCTGTCGACACAAAGAGACAGAGATGGCAACCCAAGCTGTTAAAATCTTTATGAATCGTGATCATACGAGGGTACAGTTGCATCAGATAATTATAAAGTGCACGTGGTGTTGTTGAATGTTGTTTGCTACAAATAGCAATACGGGGTTCACGTACCATAAATCGAAGACCAAATTCAGTAGACTCAAGTTGTAATAGATCAACTTTTATATTCTGTAGTTTTCCTGCATTATCGATACAGTCACCTTGATATTTCTGATATTTGGTTTTAGTTTTCTCACGAAGATCGGTCGCTTCTTGAACATACTTAGGATCGACCTTTTTTTAATAGAATAACGAAAAATATTGATCAAATATGTGAAAACTTAATCTCGTTATCAAAACGCACGCATGTGCTACAAGATTTTCAATGCAAGCTAAATTTTTTTAATAATTCCTTTTGGTAAACCGAAATAACATTATTCTTGATAAAATTCAAGAAAGCAATTTTCTCATCTTTAGATTTTATCAGCTTATCGAGTTACGAGTTTATTTTGTATAGATACAGAAACGCTCTCCTCCTAAGCTCTACTTCTAGGCATTATTCAGTTCATTCTAACTATTCCCTTTTGTTCTTCGAAGTTTATTAAAACATTAAAAAGTTTCGCTATAAAACATGCTGAGACACCAATATAAACCTTACCTTCGCTCCTGCTTCATTACAATATGGTTCAAACCTAACATACAGATGACAATGCCAGTTATTTCGATGTCCTTGATACCTGTTGAATAAGACAACGCATAGTCAAGGAATGTGGTATGAAAAAATTTTCAATTTCTAGCGGAAATAGAGAAAAGCAGGCAGGTTTACGTTTATCTTTAGCTCGTACACTACTGTTCACGTAAACCGTTTAAGTTTCGTGATTTGCGAGATACATAAAAAACCGCATGTTTCGGTGTCTTTTTCGTCCGAGAACCTATAGAAATGTAGAAAACGTTTAGAAAAGAGGTGTGAATCCTTGTGGTTATTTTTGATTTTGAAAAAGCATCAAAAAAAATTGGACCTTTTGAGAAAAGCTTGATTACATTTTTGGTAAACAAAAGCTAGAAAAAAGGCTTAGCTTTATATAAACCTATTGCTTATTAGAACCTATTGCTTGTGACCTCAAAAATGAAGAGTATGTGATTTCGATCTCCAAGGACATTTGTATCTTTCTTACTAATCGATCTGAATCGATACCACGTTCGGCACTCCGAAGGGATTTTAAAATCAGTAAAGAAACTAACGAAGCTTTTTTAGTGACATAGTTATAGCTCAGTCTTTTTGTCAATCCAATCGATAAAACTTATACTAAAGTGATACATACCAACAACCCATATGAAATGACAGGATCTAGATAAGAGAAAGAGTATAGTGTGACTTAAATTGAATATGTCTTCATCCAAAAAACTAATTACTTACAGCTTCTCCTTCGTCATATTCTGGTTTCTTCCGTAAAAATTGCGGTATCAAAGCCAATGTAGTATTAATATCATCATCCGATGCCTCCTGTCGTTCCCTACCTGTAGGATGACTACAGATAAAATGCGATCGTGGCGTATAAATATCGAAGAATAGATGGACATTTGAATTACTATTGTCGGCGAGTACCGGTTCTTTTGACGACTTAAAATCAAAAAAATAGTTTAGGGTTTTGAACTATATTAATTACATAACCTACTTTGGATGGGTCTGCTCGTCTTGCCATAATTTTCAATAAGGAAAATTGTGTCTGCAAAATGTGTTTTTAATGTGAAATGAATCAAGAGAAGCCTTTTTCTTCTTCTTTTCCTCTTCTCCTACTAACGATAGGAATATTTGTTTAGTAAGTCAATATTTTCTCCTTTCTTGTGATTACGATTATTATTTCACGTAGTTGGAAAAAACCTCGAGTAAGACTTCTCTTTCTTTTCCTGGGAATTTTTCCTTTTCGTTTTCTTCGTATATTGCATCCAGATGGAAATATCTAATCAAACTCTGTTGTCTTTGTATCAAGGTAATACGAGAAAAAACGATGCGTTCTAGCTGACTGCGCGTAAGAAATATAAAGTTTATTTCGTTTCTCCCTGTCTTGATAAATCTATAGAAAAATGAAAACGTCTTTGTGTGGTTAATCCGAAGGAAGGCCATCACCTCTATTCATTGTATGGCGTATTGTTGTGGACGCTTGTGTGATTCGAGACGTATCAAATATTGTTTTATGTTTTTGAAGTATTGTACAAATATCATTTTTAGCATGTTTGTTCGTGATGTGTTTAATTAGGTTTTCAATAATATCAAATGCAGATGTCTGGGTAGGCACTTGCGGTGATTTTAAGTGAACGTCGGTATGGGATGGGATTGATCCGTAAGGAGATGTTTCAAATGCACTAAATGAGGCTGTATTTGACGGTGTGTGTGTTATAATGTCCGAGTAGAGTATTCATATAAAGTGTTCATGTGTATTCGCTTTGATTATAAATTTTTAAATATCCCAGGTCAAAGAATCCTACAATAGGATCCTATCAGATCTCATTAGATCCTATAGGATCCTGAGATAGGATCTTGTAGGATCCTACACACTCCTAGTAGGATCCTATAGGAAACACATATGCAATCTGGATATAGGAAAATACGTAGGAATCCTACAATAGGATCCTGAAAATTCCTATCGTTTCCTATAATAGGATTATGTGGGATTTGATAGGATCCTACAAGGTCCTATATGATCCTACATAGGATTTGATAGGATCCTGTATTATCCTGTGGGAAGTCACAGGATCTTCTGGGAATTTTGCCAGGCCGTATTGATCCGGCCCCTCTCGTTCATCTATTTCCTATTCTTGATTGTATATGTCGTCGTGTTTTATTTGTATATGTCGTTTTCGGCAATATAGTGTTGTTTTTATTTTCGTATCTGTTCCATTTTACAAATAAAAATCAAAGTAAAGAAAACCACAAAACGATATGATAATAAGAAATAAAATCGCCATAACTTTCATAAAACATTTCACAAAAATAATTTCATTTATTTCACGAAACCAGTTCTACTGAATAAACAAACATATATATAAACAAAGAGAATTTTATATAAACATATAAAACAAGAGAGACGAGGCTTCTGTTATACAGTAACTCAAGAACCATGATAGCTAGAGACTTCGAATTTTGTGATGCCTCTTACTGAATCCGGATCAATCAGCAGGTTTAGCCCTCTTTGATTGGATGATTCGACAGATATAAGCGTTCATTTCTTTTCCGTAAAACGCTAATAATGCCTAACGAAAGACAGATGAAAATTTTCTTTTTTACCGAAATGTAGCCATGACTCTTCTTTAGCTACAATATGAATTTTGAAGTGTTGACTCCTAATAGTTACTGAAATACAGTTGTTTTACGATCGAGGATCACGTCTGAGATATAGGAGCCTTTCTGAAACAATTCATAATCCAGCCTAGGAATATTATTTTCACTTGAAAACTGTATCCAATACTCTAAAATGTCTCTAGACTATTCACGCAAAGTCTGAAAGTTAACTATTGTATGATTCGAGAAATTCATTGAGAATGAGCACCCACTACTGGAATATACGGAGAAGGGGTGCTCAATAGTGGGGGCTCAGTCTCAATGAATTTCGCGGATCATGCAATAGGTAACTGTCAGGCTTTGCGTGA